CACCACATCACCGCCTCTGTAGGCAGCATATCATCAATCTTTACTGATACTCACTTTTGTTTAAATCTGTGTATAACTTGTCATGCATTACTGTCAACCGTCTGCAAACGGCTGTAACTAATCGGTTGAGATGACGATCCTAAAAAAGACTCCCGCGGATGCAAAACGGGATGGTTCAACTTGTTCTTTGTTCTTGATTTGGACATATCCGGCCTTTTGTGCCCCGGCATTGTCTACCCTATCGTGAATTTCCTCTGTGCGCTCTTTCCATGGGCCACCAGCAGATTATTTGCAGTCGAAGTCGATAGGGACTTGTCATTTATCACTGGGGTACTCCACTGCCCCGTGCTTTTTGATTGATGGTTAATAGAGAACAATGCCAAGGGGCAGTGAAGATCGGTTCAAACACAAACGAGTTACCAAATTCGAAGTCGGCACGTGTTTGCGACATGTTTGACGCCCCAAACTCGAGGAACAACCACAGTTGTATAAAATCCGAACGGCTCACCCAAGTTCGCTTTGTTACCATCCTGCCCTCGATTAGTATGCGTGCCGCAGTCGCTCTCGTTGCCTTGTCTGCTGCTCTCTCCTCTGCGAGCGCTGGTCTCGTCTCCCGCCAGTCCCTACCATGTACGTTGTATCGGTGAACCACGAGGACGGCGACCTCCTGATCTCTCTTGTAGCTTGTGCGAATCCGTGCATTACCAATGCGAATCTGGGTGGTTGTTCTGCAACCGATGACACCTGTTTGTGCGAGAGCCAGACCTTTATCAATTCTACTACCACCTGCATCGAATCTTCTTGCACCGGCAACGATTTACAAGAGGCAGAGCAATATGCGCAATCCCTTTGTCTCGCCGTGGTATGTCATTGATTCATATCCTTGGTTGGCTATTACTCACTAATCTTACAGGGGGTGACACTAACTATCGCGACCCCTACTCCAACGTCCACGTCGCCTACGTCGTCCTCGTCGTCTACGTGAGTTCCCGCAGTTTTCGGGTGATATGTTGCACTGATTTTTTTACCACCTCGCAGTGCAACGGCCACGCAAACAGGTAGTGCTACATCGTCTTATGGTATCAACGGATTCGCCGCGGCTGCCGCCATTCTCGGTGTTGGCCTTGCTCTTTAGACTGTTAAAATCAGTCTGTTCACCATCCGCTGCTTTGAATCGCCGTGTACACACTTTTGCCATTTCGTTTTTCTTGTGGTATATTTGTCGGGTGTCGTCATTTTTTGGTGCATTTATCTACTTTCGGGTGCTTCATTGTAACCATGTAGCCATTTTGCTCTTAATGACTAACCCGAAGATGGGATTTTTACACCATGGCGACGTCGTGAAGTGGAGTGCGAATTTAACCTGCCAGTAGAAACAGAAGTACAGATTGAACCGATGACTTGCCCGAACTAGATGGGGGAGATGAATTTCCCAGGATGGTCTTGACTACCGAATGCGGTAATCGCATTTTGTTTCTGACTACTTGGCCCGTGCGAGGACAGTGTTGGCGGACACCGTCGATGAAGGCCAAAAGGTTATGGCGACGAATGCCAACACCGCTGGCACTCCTGCTGGGTCTTTTCCTAGGCCTGTTCATCGGGCGCATCCTGCCACCCTCGGTATGTCGATTTCACCCGCGCGTAATCCTGCACAGTGTAGACACAACTCACCGATGACAGCTCTTCGGGTTTTCATGGACACACCCCAGTACACCTGTTTTTCTTTCGCGGCTCTCCGCACGAAAACACTTCACTCTGCCAGACATCGACCAGCGAAAGCGCGTTCTTGATCTCCTCTCGACACTTTCGCCCTACCATACCGCTGAATGTACCCGCAACTCACAACCGCTCTACGTTCAGCAAGTCAGAGAGCGCTACAAACCCCTCGTAGCAAGCAGATCACCCTCATCACCCTCATCTTGGATGCCTTCCCTGGGATTTGGCCTGTCCGACCCAGATGGTCTATACGTCACTCCCGCTAGAGAACACAAATACTACTTTGCTATCAACCTATACAACTCCTTCGACATCATCCCTGACCTGTTTGCTACTCTCTTCCGGGTGTCAGCTATCCTGGGCTATCACAACGTCTTCGTTTCCATATACGAGAACGGGTCGAATGACCAAACCAAGGCGCTCCTTCGCATATTCGACTCAATCACAAAAAGTGTCGGACTCAGGGTCACCATACGAACGTCGACCCGCACGAGAGGAGCGTTCAATCACCGTATCGAATACCTCGCCGAGGTCCGGAACCAGGCGTTCGACCCTCTTCACGAACTCAGAGACGCCAACAATGAGTTCTTTGATACTATCATCTTCATGAACGATATCCTGCCATGCGTAGATGACGTCCTCGAGCTTATCTGGCAGAGCAGGAGGAACAATGCGGGTATTACATGTGCTGCAGATTATGTGTATCATAATGACCTCGTAAGTTGCACTCTTTGTTCTTGGTACCCTCCAACGTGACGTATCTTCGTCTCCGAGTTAAGAATACACCTGTCTTTTACGATAACTGGGTATCACGTGACATCAACGGCACAGCCCTCGAAAACGCGCCCTTTGAGAACATCTTCCACGATCCAGAGTCCTCTGAACGGTTCCAGCGCCACCTCCCTATCCAGGTCCAGTCTTGTTGGAATGGTGTTGCGATTCTTGACCCCGCCCCTTTTTACTCGCCCCCATACGTTCGCTTCCGCATGGCAGACATCGCACAGGGCGAATGTTCCGCATCAGAGTGCAGTCTAATCTGCAACGACTACTGGCAAGCAGGGTACGGCCGGATTGTGATGGTACCACGTGTGAAGCTTGCATATGATAGGGTCAGTCTCCAATCTAAGCGTGTCACCACCAACTTTCCGCCTCGTGGCTCTTATTGCTGAGCTTGAGTGCTATCTTTTACAGAAAGTCTTTGATTTGATACATCCTCTTCGGAAGAATCTCACCGCTATCCGGGGGTATGTTCGCATCGGTGGACTCCCAGACGACCCCCGCTATGACCCTCAAGACCGCTCGTGGTTCGGCCCTCATGATCGTGTATTCGACTCACAGGAAAGTGAGGAAATAGAGTTCCAACCGGGTCCTTCACACGGTACGTCACTTTCGATGCTCAGGCCCCACCCCCCTACTTATTATTGATGGACATGGGAATAGTGTGGTGTTGGGGCTGGGACGGCGCTGGCGATATTGACGGGCCTGACGTTGACCCTATATGGGAGGCCATGCCAAGCCGATCGCAAACCGTAGAGGCGGTGACTGTGAAACATGACAGGACCTTTGACCTGTGATCTAGTATCATGATCTTGATCCCTTTTCGTTCGCGTCTGATGGATGGGATGGAGATTTCCTAGGACACATTTGAACAATTCTATCCTTGCTCCTTGTCGCCAAACAAACAGATCTAGACCTGGACTATGCATATGTAACTTTCTTAGTACATAACATGTCGCATATACCTTCTTGGATAATTCGAGGTTGCTATCGCGGGCTAGTCATCCAACTTCCATTCAAAAGACTGAACACGGCCTCTAGAATCTGCGAATATGCTCTTCGGTAGCAATCCTGACTCACTCGCGGGTACGTGAAGTTTTGAGGTTCGTTACACTCAACTGCAGTACTGGGATGCAACCGAAGGGCTGTAAGATCGATAACGGGGAGTACGCTGCTTATTGAGGGATAGGGCGTTTTACTGTCATGATACCATACATTACTGCCACTGACCGCGCCCCTAAGGTAAGATAGGACAAGAGATAGAGAACCGTGCATTTCCGTCCGTGGCAAAGAATTCTGAAGTGGAGACTGTTGGAACTGTGCGGAATTTGTGTTCGGAAAGACCAGGTATTGCCTTGTTTGGGTGTAGGTAGTATGAGTACGCCAGAACTGATGAATTTTATTGATTCGTGGTGACGGACAGATCTTGTGTCTTCAAAGGCACTTGCATTTTATATTTGCCGCGTGCTTTGGTAGGCACCAATTGAACGAACTGCACATGATGAAATAGCGATCTTGCACACGTTATCGTGAGGAGGGACACGAGAAGTTGTCTCCAGTAACCTGTCAACTGAGGAGTCACAACAAACATCGGTGGAAAAGGAAGTACTTCAGTGTATATCGTTCCTTTAGGAAATTCCTGGAAGTAGGAAGAAGCTGGGTCCAGAACGCGTATCTCAGATCAGTCCCCGGGGTGCAAAGGGAACCCGTATCTTGTAGACAAACAGGACAGAATGTGAATCGCATGAGGTGTTGGCAGACCACTCTGCGGAACGGCCACCATACGTCATAGCTAGTAGCAGCTGGAAGAAAGTGCTGAAAGGCAGCCCGTGAAGTCTTTAGTAGGATATGATTTGCCCAACATTGGTGGATCTACAGTTTGACCGGTATCCATTGATTTGAACCCTATCATGAATGGCCACTCGGAGAAATGTGCAAGGTGTTGGGCAGGGACCTTCAGGCACTATTAGCACCGTAGAGTGTGTCAAGCTTGAAACTTACATCCATGTTTGCGCCGGTATTGAGAAGGATCTCATTATGTCGCCGAGAGTCTGTCAATGCTTATTCTAATAAACAAGCGAGTACCTTTCTAGGGTACTTCGGCCAGTACACCCAGCAGTGTCTGGATACGGGCGTCTTGCCGTTGAAGCTGCCTCCAGTCAAAGGCCGTGCAATCCAGGAACATCTACTCAGAAGTTCACCTGACTCGTGCCTGGTCGAATCTCTGGCACGGGACCGGGTTTTCAGGCAACAAGACGCGGTCACTAAATCAAGCTTCTATGTACATAATTTCCGGGGAAAGAATTCAGTCAGTAGACTACTCCTGGCAGATATAGGCTGGAATTCGTACGGAGGTCGTAGGCACCGTTTGGATTTCCGTAGATCGAGGACAGCAATTCCGGCCCGAAACTCGTTCTCTTCTGGATAGGTGGTTGGTAGTTTGTTGTATTAGATTCGCTAGCCAGGTTACTAGTGAATGGCAGTATGGCGGCAAATAAAGACATCATGGGCTTTTGGCACAGTTGGTAGCGCGCATGCTTCGCATCGTACTGATAGACTGCATGAGGTCGTGGGTTCAAATCCCACAGAGTCCACATTTTTTATCGCCATTACCATCCTCCCCAGAAGAAATCCATTTTTTGGACTTCTGGCCAACCTTGGCTCCCCTGTTTCCTTTTTGCCTCTCGTTCCAGTGCTGGCTCATGCAACGACGCTCAGGCCTCAGCAAAGGTCTAGCACGTATATCTCCTCCATCCCAGGACCACCTCTCTGGCATGGGTGCCATCGACCCGTCGTTGCGGCCTCGGTGGCAGCTCCGCGCTTTTGGCGTCCCCAATCGCATATGGGTCATCCTACTCCTCGTTGCATTCCTTGCATCTCTGACTCGCTTCCTCCCTCCTTACCACCAACAAAATACCCAGGTTTCCACCGTCGGTCTGTTGCCAAAAAATTACTTACGCGAGACGTCTATTTTTTCTGTCAATGCCTCACAATCAGACGCCACTACTGTGGCCGGCTACCCCTTCGACTTTTGTCCCGTCTTCGGTCCAAACGATGACTTGGCACAGAGGTATGGCGCTTTGGCTCTTACTCAAAGCCGATTGCACGTAGGAAGTGGAGGAAGAATACACCGCGTATTACACAAGGCTTTCCTTGGCCGACCCATTACGATAAGCGTCTTAGGCGGGTCAGGTGGGTTGCACCTTCCAGATAGCCGTGTCGTCATCTTTGTACGTCGCTGGTCAAACGTCTCGAACTGACTCTCTCGTGCAACCAGTCTCTGCATGCCATGGCGCTGGCGACGACCCGTTGTCTTCCCAGTGCTATCCATCGATGTTCTTCCAGTGGTGGCTAAGCGTATTCCCTCACCCCGCGTCCGAACTCACCAACGGGGCCATGCGTCGGACAGACTCTGGCTACTTTGGCTTCTGCAGTGCTCATCACGTCCCAGAGCATACTGACCTCGTGATATTAGAGTTCGATGCGGATGACCGCAGGTATGTTCTGCCCCTTGGGTGTTCAATGTCACTGCTTAATGGGAAATCCATCAGTGACCAGTACAGCATGGAGAACTTTGAACTACTTGTTCGTTCTTTGTTAGACCGTCCGGATCAGCCGGCTGTTCTCGTCTTGGGCCACTTCAGCCCCCAGGTTCACGATCAGTACGGCTTTGTTGGACCAGAGCATTGGCACAACATTGTAGCACAGTTCTACGACGTGCCTCATATAAGGTATATTTACTAGTGACCGTGACCCTCATCGATAACTCACACTGCAGCAGCGTGAAACCTATCCTCTATCCCTCTTACATGGACGATCCAGATTATATCAAACCATATTACGCCGACTCAATCCTAGCCAACGCCCAAGGACATCGGGTCCTCGCAGACGTCCTCGTTTCGTTCTTCCAATCCCAGATCTGTAACGTGTGGTCAGCAGTGGCTGGCCGATCCTTCGACTCCTATTCCCAATCTTAGTCTCATCCGACTCCGGCGGTTTGGGTAGCAGAGCCTCACCTTTTCGGCGGCGCCGGGGCACGAAAGGGCGCCGCACCTCCTGAGATTGGTAGGTGAGGCCGACGAAGCCAGGAAGCCCCTTACGTGCACCCCCGTCCGTTCCAATATATCCTGAATTAGGCATCCCCCCTGTACGGATCAACACACGACCGCGATCGCCTATTCAGTTCGAGGAACCCGCTCCGTTCTGTGTGTCGGCGAACGACCTTGTGAACCCCGTTCCACCTTCGTTGTTCTATGGTTCAGGTTGGGAAGTTGCACACCCTCCACCTGGCGTGTCGCCGTTGTTGACGGCGGCGTATTACTGGTACAGTACGGTGGCCCTGAGCAGGTTACGGGTACCTATCCGAGTCGGAGCAGGTGATGTGGGCGTGTACTACTTAAAGGAACCGATCAAGGACATCGGAGAGGGAAGTCAGTTGGAGTGCTGGGTGGATGATAACTTTGGAGGGGCTGTCACCATCGAAAATTCGGGCGACATTTCAAGCCCGATCCCAGCGTACGTCGTATCTCTTTGTTTTTTGAATTCCTCCCTGATATTCACTCTGGCAGACTCGAAATAATCGACCATATGGTTACTCGTGGGTCTCACTATATCGAGTGTGTGCTTATAGGAGACGAGGGCCAATCTGTTCCTTCCTTCAAGGTCTTAGGTGTTTTCTCAACGTAACCGCCCGTGTCCACTTCGATTTGGTTCTGTCTCTGACACATGAGAGCGGTGCTGGATTCAGCTTTTTCTTGCCTTCGGAGAACGACGACGCTTCGAATAGACATTTACATAGCATTAGAATGTAGTTTTCGATGGACAATACCTTATGAAAAAGTACTACATACCACAGCCAAGCCCTGCCACGAGCACAGGCGTGCATTCACCGTGGGAATACTATATGTCCCCGACGCTGACGCAGCTGCGGAGCGTTGCGAAGCACTGGAGGGCGGCAACTGCGAGTCAATAAGACCTGTCCTTGTATCTGTACCATACCCTCGAAGAACGACCCACACGACAAATCTAACGAATCATGGCAGGAAGAAGAGGTCCTCCAACGGGTACGTAGAGCTGAATACCTCTGCGTGATCATATTTCCAACTCTCTGTCCCGTCTTGCACAGGCGCCCCAGCCAGCATATACATATGTGATGAGGGTTTACAAACGGAGTCTGCGACCAGTCGTCCTGGCGAGTAAGTCTTAAGTTCGTCCTCGTTCTGTACTTCATGACCTCATACGGGTCCAGTGGCCCTCGTTGGTGCCCTGTGGTCTCTGGCATTGTGAGTATACCCGCACGTTTGGACGGTCGATCAACGCTCATTTTTTGCCTTTGTAGCGCTGTAAGCCATCCGTTGCTGAACATGGTCATTGTCTCATTCTCGATCCCGCTTCAAGGTTGCGGGTTACAAGGAACTTGTTACAGACGAAAATGGTGCGCCACCATCAACGAAAACTCTGCCAATTGCGCTGACAGATGATCAGATAACTTCCACAACCTTGCCCCGTTGGCAGCGGTGCAGGGAACATTGTATACTCTTGCCTTACTGTTTCAGGGGTTTGGGATAGCGGCAGTGGCTACGGTACGCTCAGCCGTCGTGGATGAGGCTAGCCGTTTTCTGACGTCGTCAATCAGCAACGCACAAGATTCATCAGGATATTCACATACTTGTCTGCGCTGACGACCTTATTCGTAGTGGGGGTGTCGTTCATGCGTGTTATCACTCATTTCACTTTCAAGGTACGTGGGTTTCGGATATCCCTGTGAGTTTTCGGTGTACTCACGATATCTCAGAGCGAGTTGATCGCGGAGTGCGAGGAGCTCGCTGAAAATGGGAATGTGGATTCGGTAGGTCGCAAGTCGGTGTGCTTACTTACAAATTGGTTCATGTAGGCCTTCTTTTTTGGGGACAGATGTATGGGTTCTGGACAAGTGACCCGGGATCTAACCTCGATGCTGCCGACGCGACAACTTGTAAGTATTTTTCAGAACTCCGTGGGTGAATGACTGACCTTGCTGTTTACTAGATTGCAATGACGTGTGGTCCCGCGATTCTTGGGCTGAAATTCTCTTGCTTATTCTACTGATCGGTCCGTCGTAATTTCACTAGTTAGCGAGATGCAAGCTTGGATATATGCTGACCCATTTCATGCAGTGGTAGGGCTGTTATTTACATCGACTGCATTCGCATACTACCGCCAGGTGATCGACCCCACAAGTCCTGTTAACTCCTCTCGTGCACCAGCAAACCAAGTGAGAATGGATGACTTCCCCGCTTACAACCCACCGTATGATGCTCCTGCGTATGCGCCACCGGCTGGTCCACCACCATTTGACGGCGAAGGCAAGCCGCCTCAGTACAATTACGGCGGATACTCGTCCTTTGGGGATGACAAGGGAAAGGAGGAGGATCCCAAGAACGATCCGTTTTCCGATTATGTTACCCCGCCAATGCCCACTCATTGGGCAGAAGAACGAGATGTTACGTCCAGAACGTGAGCTGGTGCTCCGAAATGCATACGATGACGACTTTGTTTTCTTTTTTTTTTCAACTCCTCTCGTACATTACCTGAATGATATGAACGGACCCTCCCCTCGAGTATTGACTACACTTAAATACATGTTTAGTTACTCTTACTACAATTTATGCGGTTGACAAGTTGACACACCGCTGTTCCACTTGGAAGTTGTACTCATTATGCCTCCTGCTAGAGCAAGAACCAAGAAAGTTGCTCTGAGTAGTACCGCAAGTGAATCTCAACGAAGCTTCTTCCCATTCTTCCAGTATGCCTCTGTCGTCGGCGTGCATGTTATTCTCGCTGGTTTTACGGCTCTCTACCTTCCTCAGTCCACTCGTTTGTTTGGACCCCTCCCCGTACGGAAGACCGACAGGCCTCAGTCTGAGTTCATGGAAGCACTCACGGCACGTCCCGCGGTGACGGTTGCGTGGACGCTTGCTGGGCTATGCGTTCTGCAGGTATGGTGGGGCACTTGGGTGAGGAAATGGTACTTTGAGCAGAACGCGCATGGGACGTCAGACGAGATCAAGATTACCAGAGCAAAAGCCAAGGGGGTCTGGTTCTCGGTATGTCGCGAAGGTTTACACTTATATGCGGGGCGGGCGTGAGCTCTCAACACGTACCCCCGATCATAGAGACTTCGTGAAGCCGTCGGGTTCACCCTACTCGCGACGGTGGTTACACACATCGTCATCGTTCTCTTTGGGGCACCTCTGTTAAGGCGTGTACTGTGTCTTGCTCTTTCTAGCATTCGCGCTCCTGAGCACCTCTGAAGCCACCTCCTCCAAACTGGTCTCCTAGCTTCTACGGTTGCAATCTTGACGGCCTTCGTACCCGCTTTGGTATTTGGGTACCCCTCCCTTGCGTCAGACACACCCGTTAACAGGTTGAACTGGATCAGACTGTTTGCTGAACTTTCGTGGGTCCACGATAGTATGGCCCTCTCTACCTAGGTTTGCTGATGGAATGCAGACCCAGAAACCCAGTCGAACGGATCGTAGTCTACCCAGCTGTTGGAACTGTCGTTGGTGCATGGGTCGGTGCTTTTCCTATCCCGCTCGACTGGGACCGTCCC